GGCACATGGGGGGGGGGGTACCATATATATAAATAAATACATATTCTTCCGTTCAATTCATAGAAACTCTGCTTTTTTCGAAGTCAAGAAAGAAGTAGTGAAAGTGGGTGATACAAAAGAAGACGTATATTTTGAAGGGTTCAACCCGTCAGGCTTACAAAAAATATGAGGGGCAACAGAAAGTCATTGAGTGTAAAAAACAAAGAAAAATATTTATTCAGTATATGTATTGTAATTGACGACCACAGCGACGACCCAGAGTTTTTTAGATATTCTCATATGCTTGATTACGAGGGCGAGACATCAAGCGGTCAGTTGTATTTTACCACTACAAAAGTTTTCTTCTACTGCTCCAATTATTCGTCTGAATGTGAGTTCCTTTAACATTTTCAAACTTAGAAATATGACAGATAGCGCCCTCGTTGATAAGAAGACATTGTCGGATATGTATCAACAAGCGGTGAATGATGCGCCTTATTCATTCTTCTATACAAAATACGATCAGTAAAAACATCAACAAGATGTTTTGCGTAAGATTTGACAAAGCATTCATGATTGACGATGAAGAAGATTAGTAATATCATTTTGTTCATAATGTTTTAATTAGAACAAGCTGTAATTACAAATTTGGATAGACAAACGATACAATATTTTATCACTTTTATGTGCCTTTACTTCTTTCATGTTTTTATCCTTTTCTTTAATACTTTAATTTGTAGTTTATCAACATTGCTTAATCAATCTCAATCATTTTCATGAAAATGGCTTATTTGCTTAATACAATCATTCTGATTATCATTTTGGAATTCTACTTGCCATATCATATCATGGTTTGTACTATTTAAAACAGTATTTTAAATCAATAGTAATATTTGATTTAACACCATAATTGTTTACGTATCTTTGCTACGCCTGTTGCATTATTACAAGTTAAACACGTATTCGTATCTCCATATGGCTAGGCTTAGAGGAAAGTTGAGGTTGGGGTTTGGGTTTCTGGGTGTGGTGTAGGCTTTGATGATTAACGGGTTCATGATGAAGCTTTAGTACATCGTAACATCCGGGCGAAGAGCGGTACCTACGGCAATTGACTTGTTTCTAAAAATGAATGTGTTTCCTTAAAGGTCTGGAAACCATGCAGCATATTGCAAAATGTAAGCTTGTTGGCTGGTTGAAATATGGTGGTTTCGGGTTTTATGCAAATCCAGGCCCAGTTGCAGTACAGGGCTTCTGGTCGTAGTATCGGGCTTTCGGTTGTAGTAGGGACTAGTCGCCCCCTCCCCCCCCCCGCCCACCCCGGCCCCCCACCTCTCCCTGCCTTGCTTCCGCTTTTGTGCGGCAGCAAGTTGATGCGCCTACTCTGCTTGTTTGTACGCAATCTCCTCCCCTTCCCCGGTCCTCGTCTGCTCCGCCAACGGCGCCTTCAAGGCACCAGCAGTTCGTTGAACCTCTTTGTTTGCGGCCGGGCCGAGGCAGACGACGCGAGGCGTTTAAAATTAATACGTCATGCGCAAGACCAATAGGGGCGGGGCGTTGATTAAACTGTTCACGTGGCTCGGAGTTGCAGCGGACTCGATGCTCTGACAAGGTGCGCGGGACCATCGGGCAAAGGCCAAGATCCACCAAATGAGCTCCCCGCGCCTGGTAATTGCAAGTCATTCAGTGGGTCTTCAATCTCTCGACATGCTGGGTGCTCTGCTCGTTAAGACATCTGTAGGTACGATTAGCAATCGGATTGGACGGTGGCTGGGCACCACGCGCTTCCGTTTTTGAAACCCTGAAGATTCAGGAGGAAGCTTGCATCTTGGTGCTCCCCTTCGCGATTGATGTCTGTCGTTGCCTGGCCTGGATCAGCAGCAGAAGCTTCGTAGGATTGCGAAGTGTCTGTGCCTTGAGCACCTGAACCGACGTGGACCACGGGTCAACAGCATGTGGATGTCAGCACTGAGTTCTTCAACTGTGAAAGACGACCATGCCATGTTGCGTCGAATCTCAATGGCTCCCAGTCTCAAGAGGAACAGAGGAACGAGGCAACCCAGTGGCAACCGCCACCAAACAAGAGCCCACATGGAAACTGTCAGTCCCCAACGGCCGCTGAACTGCCCAAGCTATTGGGAACCGGACAATAAGTTGCCAATAAACCTCAAAACAAATCCCGAACACGGGCAACGCCTGAGAAAGAAAGGCTCCTGAAAGAGGCTTCTTTTTGCAGCATTTTGCAGCCCAGCAGCCAAGTGAGGAGTGAGCAGGGCCAGCTGCTGAATCTCTGTGAGGCGGTCGAAATCCATTCCTATCAGTCCGACTCTGAGATCTGCGCCTTTCGAAAGCTCCGAAGCCGACGCCTTTCATCTGGTTCAGCACTCCCGGCTTCAAAGAGTCGAGGGAGCTCACACTGTGCCCTTGTGAGGCAGAAGCGAGAAACGAAGCGACGGCCGGAATGTGAAGAGCAAACTTCCCGAGTTGGCCTGCGCAGTCCACATCGGAGTCGGTCTGAAAGGACCCCTCAGCAGGCAACCGTGCTGCACACGTCTGTCCACCCCCTGCTTCTCCAGGAATCGAAACAATCGCCTGGTGTGCGGGTGATCGCTGCGAGACTGATGCCGCCAAGCGTCGACACGAGACTCCAGGGTCATGGGAGTCGGAGCTGCCATGGCGATGTTCGGCAGGGCTGGAGCCACGTGTCTGCGGAGCGGAGTCTGCCACTCCCTCGACAATCGAGCTACCGGGCTACCGTCCTGAAGCCTATCGGAGCCTGAGCTGCCAGCCTGCGCTAAGAGAACGGGCAGGAGGGTAGAAAAGATGCCTTTTGCAAGGCTCTCTCAACTCCACGAACTGCTTTAACGAATTCTGAAGCTGCTCACATCGGCCTGGATGGCTGGGGGGCCGTGATGGTTCGAAACATGGCCGGCCTGCCAGCAAGTTCTCACACGGGATGAGCTTTGAAGATCAACTCGGATTACTGGCGGCCCGCCTGGCGACACACAGCATGGTAGCAGATATCACAGTATGTGCAGGTGAGACCTTCTGAAGTGTGGGGAGGCAGTACTGTTACAAATGGGCTTCGCTGAGTTTCTAGGGGCTGTGATGCGAAGTAACTGCTCCACGGGCCGAAAAGCGGCGCGGTCTTCATGTCAGCCCCCAGCAACACGTTCAATAACACACAGCTAGATCATCACTGGACCTGTTGGAAACTTGATCGGACATGTGACGGGAAACTCCAATGCAGTCTTCGCTCCTGCTTGTGGCACTCAGGCCCAACTTGGTTAGATTCTCGGTGCTCCAAGTGGGCACAATCTAATTGGGCTTACCGGGATCTCTGCAACCCTTTGGGGCCGCTGCGTAATCGATCCCAGAAGGGCGCAGTAAATCTGCGGAACAGTGTGTCTGAACCGTTCAGCGACGGGCTTAGAGGGATCGAAAACAGATTCGCAAAACAACTGGACCGCTAGGCTCTCGTGGACTCTTCGGATGCCTGTAGTCGGCTTGTCCTCTGCCTGTTCTCAATTTCGTCGACATTTTCGATTAGATCTAATCAGACGTTCACTCGTGGGGCCGTCTCCTTGCTATTGGCTTCAGTTCGTTTAGATGTTGATGTCCCTGCACAATGAGCTGAAAGCTGGAGAGAGGGATCAGGTTGCCAGAGACAGCCTTGATGTTCTCCGCCAGCTTGTCTAGCATCCACCTGAGTCGGATGCAGGCGAGGGACCCCAAAGCCGCACCGGCCGCCTCTCCCCGTCACGGAACACTGCAAACACGGAGCCCTCACTTAGAAAGCAACTCATCAACAGGCTTGGTTGCATCGATGTGACCTGGCCATCAGATGGGCGCAAGATCGTGCTACACCCCAGAACACAAGACAGCCACCTTTGGCAAAAACGTGACAGCCACCTTTAGCAAAATCCTCCATGTTCCTGTCAGAGAACTCGAGCATCGTATCCCTGCAAGGGGTTCTCATGAGTCAGAACTTTCAGCGCCAAACCTTGAACAACTTTGATGAGAAATGATTCTGAATGGCCAATATGAGGGAGTTTTAAATGAGGAGACGAGAGTTCCAGGATCCTGCGTATGTATTCCTCGGTGTCTGAACTTGGTCCCCCAACTCGGGGTTATGTGAGGCCATGATGTTCCGAATGGCTTGCATGAGTTGCCGAACGGCCAGCTGGTGGCCGTGAGCGCATGACTGAACAACCAAGCATGAGAGGACGATGGGGACGAGTTCGCTTCATGCAAAACGTCTTTTCTCACCATCTGCCAGACGATTTACCGGCAGGTTCAAGCCCATCCACCCACAAGCACTCAAAGAAGCCCCTCTGCAGCACGGCGCTGGGGTTGCAGTGGCTTGAGCTGCATCACTCTGAGTCAGACTTTTCCATCGCATTAAACCTTGAAAGACATCTGGGGCAGCATCACGCCCTTCTTGACCTGTCGAGATTCGGCTTCACTGCCGTCTACGCAGCACGACCATTTTAATTTGCATTCTGGATCTCTTGCAAGCTCCAGGCTGCTAGAACTACAAACTCGCTGGCTTCAGGAGACCCCCCTCATCGTCATCATCCGCACAGGTCCTGGGCATCTTTACTTTTCCGAATCGTCTCTCCGGGCAGAAAATCATCTCTGTCCTGATCAACTCTCCCAGTTCCTCGTGCTGAAGCATGACCTCGCTTTCCACCAGCCGTCACTGGTTACTGCACGAATGAAGGAAACGCACAAGATCTGAACCACGGTTTACTCAGGCAAGGGTAGAACAGAAGACGTGGAGTCGGGGGCTTGGAGGTTTCGCACGATCCAATCCCGCATCCTCCGACTTGCCGAGCAAAGCGCCCATCCCTCGAGCTCCCCCTCGCGCACGTTAACCTGAGCATGCAGCAGAGCAGCCGCATCCTGAATGCTGTTGAATGTTGACGAAGGCCGGCGATTGATCGGCTTTGAAACAGCAACGAATTTGTAAACGCCGGGGCAACACACTAACCAAGTGGTCAAGTGGCCTGCACCACACTCGCGAGTCTCAACTAAATGTCCACAGACTGAAGTGAAGAGAATCAACGGTTCTTGCCAGGTGACGTGGACTTTGCCCCAATTCTGCGTCTCATCCAAGCCCAGCACGCGGAGGCGATCGTTCTTGACACCTAGTATGTACGTCTGCGTTTACATAGGTTGGGCAGCGAGGGCAAGGGGCTGTGCAGCAAACGCCCCGAGGTGAACAAGTTGTTTAGGCGCTTGATGGTGGCCAGGTACTTGAGCAACTCTTTTTAACTCTACCCTGCAACAAACTTGAACTGTACCCCGAGCAGACAACAGGCACAAGCCCAGCTTTGTCCGACCACTGCGCGACTTCGTGCGCCGGCAGTTCTCTGCATTCCCCGAATCGCAACTGTCGTTCCCAAGAACAGTCTCTACGAGATTCCGAAGTCGATGAAGCAAAACATCAAGAAAAAAAATGCCTGACAGTAGAGCCAATGCAAATCAGAAGATCGAATGTGATCAGGAAGCCAAGGAGTGCAGAAGTCAGGACGGGCACCGCTCACTCAGGCGAGACGCAGCCGGGCAAGAGTCCAAGAAAAAGCACCCCGCTGCGTGCTCTGCAGGGCGAAAAAACCTTTTGGATGCAAAACTCCCACTATCGGGTGATGGTCCTCCACTTCTATCAAATCTCAAGTTGCTTTTTCTGCTTTGGCAACGTTGCGCAACCATCGATAGAAGCTAGAGTCTGGGCCAAGCGGAACCATGGCGAACCTTACTCTTCGCTGTCCGGCTGCGTTTTGTCAGCTTGTCGCCTTTGGCATTGGGCTCCCGTCGTATCCAGATCGCGTCGTAAACAACTTCCTCGGCAGAACCGGTGATGCGATCTCCAACAAAGCTTCCATAAGTCCGAGCTGCATAGAGGACGCCCAGCTTCGGCGTCGCTTTGGGTGCCGAACGCTCTGCTTCCGTCTGGACCTCGGAAGGCTGAGCTCGGGCTCGTGGCACTGGCCTTCTGGCCGTGGCCGGCCCTGGCCTCGGCGGCTTTTGCCACAGCGCCCAGTGCGCCTGGCAGCTCCGGTCGCCTCAGGCCGGAAAGAAAAACGACACCTCGCCTGCTTCCTCGACGCAAGCCCAGCAGCTGCGGGGAATCCGGCACATCCGTAGCTGCCTGGCACTTTCAAGGGCATGGCTCCCACTTGTTTGGTCAGCAAAATCAGCACGCTGTCAGCTGATCAAACCTCTGCACATCCTCACGTCAGGATCTTCCTAGACTCGGGAAGGCTGGAGGAAAGAGCTCGTCGGGGAGGGTTGGTGAGGGCTTTGCCAGCGACGCCCAGCAACAACAGCCGCATTAGCTAGTCACGGCAACGGCGACGGTTGCAGTTGCAGCAGGCATGGCGCAGCAGCACAGCAGCATCACCGCGAGTGGCAGTGGAAGGGAAGGGCGTGCAAAAAGGTCTCGTGACGTGGGGATCTGCAAGGCCGCGGCCTGTATTCAAAGCTCATCATCCAAATGCCGAGATCTACCATAAGATATAAATGTCGAAGCTTTGAGCTTTAGGCTTCTGTTGTGCCCTTTCCATCCGTTTAGGTTAGCATTCAGAACTCCAAATTCGAAACGGCCGGTGGCAGAAGCTTTCAGACAGCTTGAAGACCCAACCTCACGAACCCTGAACCTGAAACCCCTCCGGTTGCAGTTCACTCAACACATTATTGATCATGGAACGTGCCCACTGAGGTTGTCTTTATACCCCGTTTTCTCTCCGCAACGATCTACAGTTGACAGTCTACGGGCCATATATATATATATATATATACACGTACACATGTATATAGGTAGATAGATAGATCGATAGATAGATAGATAGATAGATAGACAGATAGATAGATAGACAGATAGATAGATAGATAGTTAGGTAGATAGATAGCTAGGTAGATAGATAGATAGATAGATAGATTTATCGATAGATAGATAAATAGATAGACAGATGGATAACAGACGGACAGGCAGACAGACAGACTAGCATGTGAACACATGCACACGTGTTCGAAGCTTTGTCGCTTGCAGCCAGCTTGGGCACGAGGCATCCCTGTATTCCGTCCAAATTTCGGGCCGCCTCCTCCATGGCCTCTAGAAGGTCGTCCTTCGCCATAACACCTGGCTGCAGCTTGCAAACTCCATTTCTGGAACCTGTCTTGCTCAAAGCCTCAGCCCCTGTCCGAGCATACCTGCCGGCCTACCCCTCATCCGCAAAGCAGGCCTATGTACCCATTGCGTGGACGCATGTGCGATTCGCGCCTCGCCGCCGTGCGGCCGCCATGGCCTCCGCTGCGTGGCGCTCCTGGGGCGCAAGGCCCGCCAGAAGGGTCCTGTCACGAAAACACGAGATTGCACCTCTTTGACAACAGATCGCTTCGAAGTGCCGCCACAGCCTCAACGCGGCTTGATCCGGGGACCGCCTCCCGAGCTGCAGGACAAGTGCCGTCCCGTCAGGAACTCGAAACGGGGGCTGTTGGAAGCGCTTAAGCTTGCAATGTTTCGGCGGAAGGCATAGCCGTGGAAGGGGCAAAGTGGCAAAACGGAGATGAGTCCCTCTGGTGCGGATGTGCGTTCGAAGGCTTGTCAGGGGGCGGCTTATCTAAGGCGCAATGGCCAGCGCATCTAAGGCGCACACAGGGTCTGTTTAGGACTTAAGGCTTAGGGCTCAAGGCGTTGAGGGTTTAGGGCTTTGGGTTTTGGGGAAAGGGTTCCTGCTATTTTCACTCCTTCAGGTTTCGTCTTGGGGAAGAGGTTCTTGCTGGATTCACTCCTTAGGGTTGTCGTCTTGGGTAAAAGGTTCCTGCTGGATTCACTCCTTAGGGTGTTCGTCTTTGTTTGGGGTGTAAGGCTTACGGGTTTTGGATTTAGGGTTTGGGGTTGAGGGGTTTTGGATTTAGGGTTCAGTGGTTTAGGATGTAGGGGCTGTATGCTCTCTGATGGCATCGGGCCACTGCGACGGACATTGTAGTTGTGACATGCCGTGTTCGGCTGTCCACAAACCAACACTGGGGCTCCGGGCGCCTAGGGGGGAGGCGGGCACGGTGCAGGGAGGGGCAGGGTGCGGGCGGCGGGCAGGGAGGGGCGGCAGGCAAGGGCACAGGGCAGCCTCATGTTTACGGTACGGAAGCGACTCGCGCGTGCACCTTAGCTAAATTCGCACGTGCACCTGCGATTAAAAACCGCGTGCACATGCGTGCACCTTAGAAGTCGCGCCCGCATTGGACACCCATTGGCAGTGCTCGATACTTCGACTGTTGTCGTGAGCGCTTTTCTCTGGAGCCACATACCCCCAAGTGTCTTCTGGACCTCTGCCGTGTTGTGACCTGGACAATCCCTACTTCAGTGGAGACCAGAAGGCAATTTGGACGTGCTTTCTTGAAGGTTATGGGTTCATGCCCGAGGCCAGTGACGAGGAAGTCCTGCTTTACCGTTTGCCGCCTCACATCATTGCTCGTACACTCGCGTCAGCTTCTACATAGGTCGTGGATGCTTCAACAGACCCATCAACATCCAACCAACATCCAACTTCCCAGCCCAGCCACCCTGCCAAAGCTGCGAGGAGCACGGCTGCCTGTCCCAAGGACTCGCCCCTGGCCAATGCGCTCCCTACACTGCAGTGCCCGCACGCTTCTTGCGCAAACCTCCGCAAACCCTCGAAGGAGTCCCAAAGCTGTTCGACCTGAACAAGACTCACCAGTTACACTTACAAGCCTGGCCAGCCTGGCCAGCCTGGCCAGGGACCGAAGAACCCTTACGGCACTTTAGTACAAAGGGAAGCTTGAACTGGCACAGGCTTAGGCGGTTACAAAGAGGGGAGCCTCAGCAACTCTTTTCTTACCCACAGCTTTCCGTTGCAAGGTGCGTCCAATATTTCCGTGGCTCTACAAGCCCACATGTGCGCCTGTCCCGGCACTTGTCCAATGCCTCAGCAGCATCCGCTCCAGCCTGCCACAGGTCGCTTAACGGCCGTTGCGAGAGCAGGTTGTGCCGCAGGCTCCTCCAACATCCGAGCAAGCGGCCACTTATTCAACAAATGACATGGGTGCCTGAACGAGCAGCAGAACTTTGAAGTATTGTGTGTCTTTCCTTGTACCGTTTCCCTGGTGAACAAGTGGTGGCTGTCCACTCTCCACTCCGAATTCACCCCCTTTCTGCACCGTGCCTCCACGATCCAGACGATGCAGTCCAAGTGGCCAGCAGCTGCAGCTACTTCCAGGGGCCTGCAAATCTGGGTATCGTCCACAGCAACGCAAAGTAATTAGCGATCATGCTCCGAATCCTCAGACCCTCATGCACTTGTCTCGAACACTGTGCCAGGCACCCGCGGCCCTGAATGTCACGAGCCGCCACTGCCACTCCGTAAGGTTCAGCCGAAAGGAAGCGCCTGCCCGATGCCAAGGAGCAGAAGCTTCCAAGACCCTTCCACACCCACAATCCGCTGTCTACGGTCGCGTTCCGCGCGTCCCTTCTCTGCTGCGCCTCAGGTCCTCCACACGTCCCTCGCCAGCGGCGGCACAGAGCGGCTCCAGGGGTCGCGAGCAGATCGGGCACCCCTCGCAAGGCTTTTGAGTTTTAAGTGCATCGAGAGCAAAATTAAACTCTGTCGTGAATGCCGTCCATTCCTGTCTATGCACACATCAGCACGTCGCGACATTGCACGTTTAACTCTACACAAATCTTGCCGTCGGAGAGCTGTACACTCAAGCTCTTCGTCTGAAACCACCCACCCATTCCATTGCAGCGAGATTGGAGCAGGAGAAAACAAACCCGAAACAAAGCCCAACCCGAACGCCGACCCTCCAATCTAAACAAACCGTTCCGCAAAGGGGACGTAGGCTGCAAGTACTGGCGCGCACGGACCAGCTTGGACCCCTTGAGGATTTCTTCATTGATACACCACCATGCAGAGTGTAGGATCCCAACAGTACTACAGAGTACAGGGCTGAGGCTGTTGCAGAAAGGAAAAAAAAAGGTGCGGCTGCCATGGCGGCTCTCGTCTTTCTCTTGAAGCGGCAAAGAAATGGATGACATGCTTTTATGATGCTTGTGCGAGGGGCTTGGGGATCTTAGAATAACGCGGCCCTTGCTTCTTTCAGTGACACAAAGGAGCCAGCTTGCAACTTTCTTCAACGGATCGATGCCGGTGGAGTATGCGCAGTCTCCGGTTTCGTTTCGCTTTTGCAGGCACGGCCAAATCGATGCAGCTTTGGTAATCGCTTTCCTAACAACAAAGGGGCCCTCCCGCGAGAGATAGAGAGAGAGAGAGAAAGACAGCGAGAGAGAGAGAGAGAGAGAGAGAGTGAGAGAGAGAGTGAGAGTG